AAACGGGGCCTAAATGACAAAGGAATAAACACTAACCACCTGATTTCAGTGGCTACAGACGGAGCACTGAGTATGAGAGGGTCACAAAAGGGGTTTGTGTATCATGATGCTCATTTTGTATTTGTAGCCGACTGAGTCATTTTAACAGTCGGCTGATATAGTTAATATACTGACAGCCTGTGTTGCCTTCATATTAGGCTTATATAAGGCTTTTCATTTTGTGCGGCTCCAGGCAGGTCTGGTTTTTGTTTTTTTGGGCCAATCTGATTCCTGATCTAGTTGCTGGAGAGAAATGAACCTGAGAGGAGGCACTGGGTGGCTCCAGCCTGGCTACAAATCGACAGCATTGAAACTGTAACAGCACATGGGGGTCGTGTGCAACAGGGAGCTCAAATCGACAGAACACCAGCCCTCCACAATATTTTCTGTTTCTCATGTGGACCTATGGGAAAAAAAAATGATTGCCCAACCCTGATATATAGGATTTATACACACAAGTCAATGATTACAAAGGGCAAATGTCAGATCTGCAGCTGCGGGAATAATTCAGCAAAAGTTTAAGCCCACGTTTTGAGGTGAATATGAACAAACAAGGGCCGAGTAATGGATTATACTGTACATCGAGCCTATTACAGCCGGTTTAATGGCCTATTAACACTGTAGTTTGAACTGAGAATTCTTACGGGCAAACTTGTTCAGGACGGACCGTGATTAGAATGAAAAATAGACTTGCTAGAGCTGCTTGTCTCCATGGAGATGTTATTGCGTTGCCTGGAATGACCCGCAGTACGGCATTAAACTTGTCTGTCTTGCATTTTTTCCATTATGGGCTCTTGCTTAAAAATAGCCTACCTTAAAAAACATCCACATGCCTTTTCACCACAAGTAGGATCGTCTCTCGTGAGTTTAAAGCCGTACTGTGGGTTATTCCAGGTGAAGCAATAACATCACCACCTCAAAAGTTGCACAGTCTAATCCGTGTATCATTCTTTCATTTGTTTTTCAATATAAAACCAAAAATAAAATGAAAAAACAACTATTTTCTTCATTATTTGTCTCCAAAACCAAGCTGAAAAAACAGACAATGATTAGTTTTTTTCAGTTTTCAATTTTGTGTTTAAATGAAAAATGGAAAAAAAAAAAATGATAGTGACTTAAACTGTGATACTGGACTGAACCAGGACTAAAACAGGACTAAAACAAGACTAAACCCGGACTAAGCCGTTTTCAGTCTTGGTCTGGTCATGGTCTCGGTCCCGGTTTGGTCCCAATCTGAGTCCTCGTCTCAGTCCCGTTGTAGTCCCAGTCTGGTCCCGGTCTAAGTCCTGGTCTTAGTACTGGTCTCAGTCCCGGTCTGGTCATGGTCTGGTCCTGATCTCGGCCCTGGTCTCAGTCCCGGTCTAAGTCCTGGTCTCTCTCCTGGTCTCAGTCCCGGTATGGTCCCAGTCTCAGTTCTGGTCTGGTCCCGGTCTAAGTCCTGGTCTTAGTACTAGTCTCAGTCCCAGTCTATTCCCAGTCTGGTCCTGGTCTCAGTCCCGGTCTCAGTTCTGTTCTCAGTTCTGGTCTCAGTCCCGGTCTCAGTCCTGGTCTCAGTTCTGGTCTGGTCCCGGTCTAAATCCTGGTCTTAGTACTGGTCTCAGTCCCGGTCTGGTCATGGTCTGGTCCTGATCTTGGCCTAGTCTCAGTCTCGGTCTAAATCCTGGTCTCAGTCCCAGTATGGTCCCGATCTTGGTCCCGGTCTCAGTCCCGATCTCAGTCCCGGTCTGGTCCTGGTCTCAGTCCCAGTCTCAGTCCGGGTCTCAAGTCCCGGGACCAGTCCTGGTCCCGGTCTAAGTCCTGGTCTCAGTCCTTGTCTGGTTCTGGTCTGGTCCTGGACCTGTTTTAGTCCTGGTTCAGTCCTGGTTCAGTCCTGGTTTAGTCCTGGTTCAGTCCTGGTTCAGTCCTGGTTTAGTCCTGGTTCAGTCCTGGTTCAGTCCTGGTTCAGTCCTGGTTCAGTCCTGGTTCAGTCCGGCATCACAGTTTAAATCACGTAAACGGGAAACGGTCGTTATCCGTTTTTTCCATTTTTCATTTAAACACAAAATCGAAAATTGAAAAAACGAATCATTGTCTGTTTTTTCATTTTGGTTTTGGAGACAAATAATTTAGAAAATAATCGTTTTTTCATTTTCTTATTTTTGGTTTTATTTTGAAAAACAAATGAACAAATGACACACGGATTTACTCTTTTTCAGTCTTCAGTTGATCCAGAATCGGACCTTAAAGGCTCATATTAGATTATTTTCTCATGTTTCCTCAGTTGTATTTTGTTTCATTCACATGTTTAACTCACAAACACTGGATATTTAGGTTGAGTTCTTATCTCAAACAAAACACACTTCCACCTTGTCATGTCATGTGGTTAGTGTTGGGAGTGTTACTTTTAAAATGTAATCCCCTACAGATTACAGATTACACACACCAAAATGTAGTTTGTAACGTAATCCATTAAATTACTTAAAGTGAGTAATGTAATCTGAATACTTTGATTACTTGATTTGCTGTAGAGAAGCAAAGACGAGGAAATCTTCACGTAAGAAGTTTTATCTGCTAAAAGAAAATGAAAAGTCCAGACTTTACTGAACCAAATTAAAAATATTATTGATAGAAGAGGAGGAAACACATCCACGCAGCATTATTTTGTCCTGTTAAATCCTGTTTTAGACCTGGTTTTAGTCCTGGTTTAGACCTGGTTTAGATGTGGTTTTAATCCTGGTTTAGTCCTAGTTTAGTCCTGGTTTAGACCTGGTTTAGATGTGGTTTTAGACCTGGTTTAGTCCTAGTTTTGTCCTGGTTTAGTCCTAGTTTAGTCCTGGTTTAGACCTGGTTTAGATGTGATTTTAGTCCTGGTTTAGTCCTAGTTTAGTTCTGGTTTAGTTCTGGTTTAGACGTGGTTTTAGTCCTGGTTTAGTCCTAGTTTAGACCTGGTTTTAGACATGGTTTAGACCTGGTTTAGACGTGGTTTTAGTCCTTGTTTAGTCCTAGTTTAGTTCTGGTTTAGACCTGGTTTAGATGTGATTTTAGTCCTGGTTTAGTCCTAGTTAAGTCCTGGTTTAGTCCTAGTTTTGTCCTGGTTTAGTCCTAGTTTAGACCTGGTTTTAGACATGGTTTAGACCTGGTTTAGACGTGGTTTTAGTCCTGGTTTAGTCCTAGTTTAGTTCTGGTTTAGTTCTGGTTTAGACGTGGTTTTAGTCCTGGTTTAGTCCTAGTTTAGTTCTGGTTTAGTTCTGGTTTAGACCTGGTTTAGTGTCCGGTAATGAGTGGAATTACGGATAAAAAAAAAAGGGATATAGCCCAAAATGTGAAAACAGGAAAATACCGTCGTGTAATCCATTTATTTCAACAAAGTAACTGTAATCCAATTACCACTCACTGAAACAGTAACTGTAACTGAATACAGTTACTCATAATTTGTACTCTGATTACATAACTCCAGTACATGTAATCTGTTACTCTCCAACACTGCATGTGGTGAATAGCCTACAGGAAGTGCTCCACTGTGTTTTTAAACTCCATACACCTTCACTAGAATCATCACATTGTGGATCAGAGCGTTTTGAGCTTTGGAGATGTAGACACACTCATAAAAAAGTTACTCAAACACGTGTGACTGAAATAAAACATAACTCCAGGTCTGTTTTTGACGACGTAACAACATTATAACATGACTTAAATCTCACAAGAGTCAATTTTGCATAATAGATGACATTTACTTCCAGAATCAAAAACTGGGACACGCTCGGTTTGTCGTGGTTGGTAATAATAAAATTGTGAAACGAGTGCGTAATTAAAGAAAATTGTTATGCACTCGGCTCATTCATGACTAACACGTGAGGCAGTATAGTCACGTTTTCTTTCTGTATTTCTTTTTTTCCTGTATTTTACCAAATCAAATGACAATTTCATTTCTCTTTACTGTTCGCAGGGATTACATTGGCCAAAAATAGGGACACCTGGGATATTTCTTGTATAAAACTGGGACAAATCACAGTTTTTTGGATAAATCTGCTGAGACAGGGGACAAAACCATAGATTTGTCCCAGTTTTATACAAAAAATGTCCCAGGTGTCCCTATTTTTGGCCAATTTAATACCTAATACCTGGGACTGTCCTGGGTAAATAAGTAAGTCTGGTCACCCTAAATTTACATATTTTATAGGCTCAAGTCTAGGGTGACCAGATTTTCAAAATAAAAAACTGGGACATCCCTGGAAAATTGTTCTGCACTCTGCACAAATGTAAGTCAGTATAGTCACATTTTCTTTGTGTTTTGGTCATTTTTAAACAGATTTTCTGTATTTTACCAAATCAAATGACAATTTATGCCTGACTTTACTGTTGGCAGGTATTAAATAGGTCAAGAACAGGGACACCTGAGACATTCTTGTATAATAAATGTGTAAAAAGACACAGGGTTCAAAACTGGGACTGTCTCAGGTAAATAAGGACGTCAGGTTACCCTAAATTTAAGTCACCAATGTGTTTTGGTGATTTTTAAGCAGCTTTTCTGTATTTTACCTAATCAAATGACAATTTATGCCTCTGTTTATTATTGGCAGGTATTAAATTGGTCAAAATAGGGGTGACCAGTTTTTCACAATAAAAAACTGGGACATCCCTGGAAAACTGTTGCACTCTGCACTAATGTGAGTCAGTAAAGTCACATTTTCTTTGTGTTTTGGTGATTTTTAAGCAGCTTTTCTGTATTTTACCAAATCAAATGACAATGTATGCCTTTGTTTACTATTGACAGGTATTAAATTGGTCAAAAATAGGGACACCTGAGACAGTGTTGTATATAACTATATGTAAAAAGACACGGGGCTCAAAACTGGGACTGTCCTGAGTAAACAAGGAAGTGTGTTCACAGTAAATTTACATATTTTATAGGCTCATGTCTTTTCTTCTTAAAAAAAAAAAAAAAAAAGTCAGAAATTCCCGATTGTTTTAACGCGTTATTCCGCCCGAATGAACGCGCCGCTGCTCATTCCCACTTATAATCAGTCTAAACACGTATGTGCATGTTATTTATGTGTTATTTCCATGTTATTCCGCTGTTTTTACGCTCGTGGTGGTAGTTTTTCGGCGGTGTTTCTGCTCCGGTCTGGCCCGGGGCAGGTCGCTGTCTCTGGGCTAAAGGCTAAAGCAGCTCAGCCTCTAATCCCCGGATGAAACCAACATGGCCGCCTCTCGCTGAGCTGTCAAGCGCTCTACAAAAGAAAAGGTAAAAAACGACTTAACTCCGCTCATTACGCACGCTTTAAACCCCCGGCGTACGTTTCGCACAGCTTTAACAACCTCCACAACTCGATTCAAGTTGTTTCGTGAACATTGGAGTAACTTTATCGCCACGCTTTTGATTAAGTTGCGTCGTCTTTGTAAGCTTTCGTGCGTCACGTTAATTCAAATGAGTCCAAAACGCCGACGCTTTTTTTCCACGCTATTTCTCCAAAACAACAAAAACGCGACATGCTTTGACACGGCGAGGAAAACGTCGTGATATTCCTGCGTGTTTCTCGCTACTTAATCGTTCGCGAGGCGTGCGCGTCGCTCGGTACCATTGCAAGCTTGGATCATCACTTTGTTGTGGTCAAGTCAACTGCATAATGGCTGCACGATACTACGAGTTATCTCATCAGAAATGCGGATTAAATGGTTATTCTGCGCCAACTTTGATGCTGAAGTTGTTGCACGCTTCTTAAAACCCTCGTCGGGGTTTGTTTTTTGCTGGGAAAGTGCAAAGTTAGTCGCGAGCAGGTGAGCAAAATTGCAACTCGTCTTCACCTGGTTGCAGATAACGATCTCAAAGTCGTCTAACTTTTATCAGTGAATGTAGATGGAGTGTTTTTGCAACGTGTTCTGCTCCAACTCGATCGTGCATTTGTCTGTGCACACGTTGTAGTAATTCGTGCATTATTTTCGTGTCTATCCACTTTGCTTTTTGGTTGTGAAATTGCAAATGCCCTTGACAACTCAAAGTTCTCAAACAAAACGGTGCCTGCAAGTTGTGACTTTTTGTGCCAGCCTAGGAAAAAGCCTTAGGTGTAGTTACGAGTTTTGCATGTACGTTCACTATGCGTAATGTAAATGTCTTTATTTGCAGTGTTAGATAGAAAATTTAAGACTTAGACTTAACTTTATTGATCCACAAGTGAAATGATTTGAACACAGTAGCTCACACATCACAGTAATAATATAATAACAAAGAGAAAACGTATAAATGTTAATAATAAATTCTAAATAAGTATCCAAAAAGACTAGGGATGTAACAATAACTGAAATATTGTGATATCGTATTGTTAAAAGTCTCACAATATATCGAATTGCAAGTTCCTTTGTTTAAATGCATGGTTTTATAGTAGTAACGGCTCATAAACATCGGGAACTACATATCCCATGATTCATTTCAGCGCAGACAGCATGAAGAAATGTTTTTTACTTGCATTCTTAGGATTATGACAGTAATAATTAACACCAGAATCTTGTCAATGTATTTAAAAAGCTAAAAAAGTGTCCGATCTACAATAATTTCAGTGTCTCCAAAATATCGTGATAAATATCGTACCGTGAGATGCATAATGTGATATTATTTTATCGAGAGATTTGGATATCGTTACATCCCTACAAGAGACAATTGTCAAATAAGGCATAATTATAAAAATGTAATTGTACAAGTCAAAATAAAATAGAAAAATAAGTAATAAAAAATATAAAATCTCAGCTTTATACAAGAGGTCAAAGGAAGACAAAAGTTAAAAGCAAAAATTATATAAGTTGTTGTACAGTTGTAGGGAGAATTATCTGTCATATTAGAGTGAGATGTTTTACGAGTGTAGGGAGTATTATCTGTAACATATGAGTGAGTTGTTGTACAGTTGTAGGGAGTATTATCTGTCATATTAGAGTGAGGTGTTGTACAGTTGTAGGGATTATTATCTGTGACATAAGGGTGAATTGTTGTACAGTTGTAGGGAGTATTATCTGTGACATAAGGGTGAGTTGTTGTACAGTTGTAGGGAGTATTATCTGTCACATAAGGGTGAGTTGTTGTACAGTTGTAGGGAGTATTATCTGTCACATAAGGGTGAGTTGTTGTAGGGAGTATAATGTTATGTTATCAAATACAGACCTGGAGTTGTTTTTTTTTTTGTTTCATTCACACATGTTTGAGTAACACTTTTATTATTAGTCTGTCTACATTTCCAAAGCTCTGTTGCACTTTGTGATGTCATGTGCTGGTAGTTTTCAAGTTAACATCTATGTTTTACCTTGTGTTTAGTAGAGATCTGCAATTACAGGGCTGAAATCGTCCAAATGATTCCAGTGAAGCTTTTAAAAAGAGTTTAAACATACAGTGCAACACTTCCTGTTAGGAGTGTAACGATATCCAAGGGGCCGTCCACACGACAATGTTTTTTTGGTCAAAACGGAGAAGTTTGTATTCGTTTTGGCCTTTCATCCACACACAGACGGCGTTTTAGGTGGACGAAAACGGGAGTTTTTTGAGAACGGGTTCCAGAGTGGAGAAATCTGAGAATGCCGGCATCGTGTTGTCGCGTGGACAAGCAAACCGAAGCTTTTGGAAAACAATGATGTCACGATCCCGTCATCGCCAGGGTCCTCTGATGCAGCGAAGCCTGCAGCCCTTGAACTGGCCTCCACAGACCACAAGAGCGTTGCCAAAATGTGACAGGTTTATCCTACGGAGCCGCTCCTGTCGCCCTGCAACAGAGACACGCTGCTAGTGCCAATACTAACAACACGCACCACAGATTAAACACATGGATCAATAACAAAGATTATGTTTACACTGAAACAAATCCACGTATCACCGTATCAGAAACGATCTGCGTCCACACACATCGTTTCTGTGTTTGCAAGTCTTCCCTATCCACACAGCTTTGAGCATATTTGTTTACATTTTACAGAAATTTAACTTAAAACCACATGGCTAATTTGCATAAACTTAAGTACTCAAAAAACAGCTCACTATTGTGCACCGATGTGGTTCAGCTTCTGTCAGACTAAAGGACACGACTCAGTGGAATATTTGGGTTCTTTCTGTGACTTATGTTAAACTTTTGCAAAACAAAACGGCTATATTTCTGGGAAACATCTAAAATAGACAAAATTACCTTAAAGTAAAAAAAAAAAAAAAAACTGTGATGAGATTTGCATTATTAAATATTATTATCATTGTTAACAGCACCACATACAGGTGTGGCAGATGTATTACATCGTTTTCACTCAGTGCTCCATTGTCGTCTGGACGTGAATATTTACTGATCCGGGACGTGTGTGGATGCAAATATTTTTCAACCCACAAAGAAAAAAATCCAGGAGCGTTGTCGTGTGGACTCATGATATAATATCGTCATGATACAATATTTATTGCGACATCGTGGGAAAGCTCACGATATGTTAGGGAGACTCATGATTAGGGATGTGACACTATCCAAATCTCTCTGTACGATATTTTCACGATATACATCTCACGGTACGATATTTATTGCGAGATTTTGTGGAGGCTAACAAAACTGTGAATATGCTACTTTTTCCTCTTAAAATAACCTTGACAAGTTAAAAAAAGAACATAATAAGGTAATGAAAAAAAGAACCTAATAACATAAAATATCATAAGACCAAATGAATCTCATTGGACTAACCTTGACAAGCCTTAACCCAAAGAAAGAAAGTCTTAAAAGTGCTTAGAACTGTTATTTCTATTATCTATTATAGTCTACATTGAATTGGAGCAAATGTAGTTCCCTCTGTCTTTTTTTAGTTATTGCTGCACTATAACTATGAATTTAAGCAAAGACACTTGTAAATCGATATATTGTGATGGTCCACGATATTATTGTGAGAACTCTGACGATACGATATCACCATATTTCAGTTACTGTTACGTCCCTACTTCCTGTATTACCACATGACATCACAAGGTGGAACAGTGTGTTTTCTGTTGGAGAGAAGAAGTCAAGCCTAAATATACAGAATTTGTGTTAAACATGGACAAAAAACCAAAAACAAAACACAATTCCAGGTTTGTTTTTGATTAAGAAACAACATTATACCATAAACCAGAAAGTATATGGGCTCAGTATAGTTTAATATTTATTTTTTTTTTAGCCTTGCACTTGCTGTTCACATGACTTTTCTTTGTTCGACCATTTGTTCACACGTGGCTGTCATAAGAGTGTTAACTGTGTCAGTTGTGAGAAGCAGCCCAAAAGACCCTATAGAGCGTTTTCACTTGACCAAAACATGTTCCTGGTGATGTAGTAGTAGTTCGTGTAATTTGCCATTCAAATACCAGCACGGTGATGTTGGTGAAGTTAGAGTAAAGTTATAATCTGTACTGTCCTTGGTCTTAAATTTGAGCAGACGCCAAAATCATGTAGTACTTTAGGCTGTGTTTAATGAAATAACAGCACCAAAATACTACTTTAATGTATTATGTTTAGCTCTAGGCTCGTGTGTTATGGTCTTACGCAGGAGCAGTGCTGGTAATTTCTTTTTGAATCCTGGTAATCATTTGCATGTGACGTTGTCTTTCACAATTTATTGGCGCTACTTGTGTATCTAGAGCAAATATAGCTCTGAGTAAATTGAAACTTGCACATAATCACACATTAGATTCAAGACTTGCTGCTACTACTACTAGTACTACTACTAGAAGTGCTAGTACTAGGACTACTGCTGCTGCTGCTACTATTACTACTACTTCTACAACTAGTAGCCCAGAGTAAGCTTATTAGGGGGGGAAAAAGTTATGCATCATTGATGGTTTTTAGGCTACTACTACTACTACTACTACTACTACTACTACTACTACTACTACTACTACTACTGTTACAAGTACTACTGTTGCTACTGCTGCTGCTACTACTACAACTACTACTACAACTAGAAGCACCAGACTAAGCTAATGAGGGGAAAAAGTTATGCATCATTGATG